TCTAATGTTATTTAAATTACATATAAATATAAGTAAATATATATATATATAATCAACGTGTTAAAGAATAAAATATAATTTCATTGTTCAAAAAATAATGGGCTAGATTCGATATCAGCGTATAACCATCTAACGAAACGTGGCGTACAATAAACAGGTAAATCTTCTTCGGAAAATTGTAGAAAATCAACTATACTGTTTTCTATTTCTTGCTGATAAACAGATCCAACATATTTTTTCTCTATTAAATTACGATCCTTTTCTGATATCTATAATAAAAAGGCACGCTCTTTATATATATGTTATAACATTTTAAAAAGCATGAACTGGAGATAATAAGCATATCATATTTCAATGAGTCATATCGAATAACGATCGATCGTGTCTATTTAAAAGTATCATCACTCACCTCATTCCCTTCAGATTTTAACAAAGCACGCACGCAATCTTCAATCAAGGAATCACCACCAGAAACATTCTGTGTTACGAACAAAAATTCTAATTTTTTTTTTTTCTAATATTCTTTCAAATATTTACTTATATATATTTTTTTAAAAAATCTTATTAAAAAACGTGTAAATTATATTACGATTAGATTTTCATGGTGTTATGCTATTAATCGATTATTTCTTTTTAGATAATATAAATTAAAAGTCTACTTGTGGATTTAATAATTTTGTAAAAAAAAAAATATATTATTATTTCAAAAAAAGTTATAAATTTTTTTCTCTCATCCTATATAAAATATATTTAGAATATATTTAAAAATGTATTTTACCGTTTTGGATAACAAAGTGGCACGATTTTCTACTCTCAAACATTCGAATCTGTCGTAAAACAATGCCATAGCCCATGGTTCACGAAAGTATGCGTAAAAATCCAAAATAAGAGAATTCTAATTAAAAGTGTGTATCACAGATTAGAAAAATTCAATGAGAGTTAATAATAATAAAATGAAAAAAAAGAAAAAGAAGAACATGAAAAGATTTACTTTAAAACGATATTTAACTTCGTTTAACATACTGTCGTGTTTTCCGTACAAAGCTATCATATGGTGTACTTCGAAATTCTACAATAATATTTATAACAACAAAAATAAATAGAATTTCTAATGAAATATGTTAATTACATTACTTTTAACATTGATATAAACCTTCTTACTGCAACACGTGATCGAATCTACAAAATTTCGTGAATTTACACGTAAACGAAAGTAACCAATTTCGGATAAACAATTACCCGTTATCATAACGTCACCCTAATAAATAATACAAATATTTTAATTAATCAAGTGTAATAATAAAGTATATCATATTATTAAAAAAAACTCTTACATAAAGTGATTGTTTTATAGAAATATCACGTGGTAATTTGTTTCCTGGTCTGCTGACGTAAAGATAATGGTAATCACCAGGTAATACGCAGGATACAATGATCGGTGATCGAAATTCCGGTAATAATAAATTCGATTTACTTCTGTCAAAATGATCGCATCTACCTTTACGTTCTTGATAAATTTCTATCACTTTGCGAATAACTTTACCGAGCTATTTGTTCGAATTTTAAGAAAAGATCAATTAAATATTAATCCAGAAAATTCACGCAAATTCTCTTAGAAACAAAAAAAGCGAATGAGTTTTAAAGTAAATTTAACTTATAAAAATATGGAAATAACGAACAATTTTTGTTTTTTTTTTTTAATTATCTACTAACTCTTTCGCCAATCTCTATGCTACTGTAATACTTGTGTTCGAATAATTCAGCTTGAAATTTTCTTGAATATTTGGTAATCGCACCAGCTGCGAATACAAATGGGTCGTTCGTACGAAATTCAGGATTTATCACCAGACGACCATCAAATACTAAACCAGCACGACAAATTGCTGGAATATATATATGTATAATTAAAATCAATGAAAAATAATTTGCGTATAATCTATCGAAACACAGACACAAAATACAGGATAAACCAAAAGTTTCTATTTTATTTCATTTATTCAATCTTATATTTTAATTCGTTTTTTTTTTTATATTTTACACCTAAAAACTTTTATTTTATCCTGTATTATAATATTATATAAAAGATATATATATTACATATATTATTTTACCTAGAAATGAATTGGTATCAATTTGTTTGTTATAAAAATTGAAAAAAATGTCACAAGGAATGGTTCGAATTTTATTTCCTGATCTTACAACGATCGATGTGATTTTATTCTTATTATTTTTACATTCCTCTAATAAATTCCAATTAATTACGTTCCATCCTAAAAGAATGTTTATTTCATTTTCCAAAATGGAATTCATTATGGTTGTATCAACCTATTATAATAATCCTTTTATTATTCTTCTACACATTATTATCAATAATTAATTATTGATATATAATATATTGTGTGTATAATAGTTCATTTATATTTTTCTCATCATACTTCGCAATTATAAAAGAAAACATTGTCGTGTCGGTCGCATAATTTTAATTTAGGTTCGATTAAAGTAATCCAAGAACCTTTAATTCCATGTTTCAATAATCCATGAAGAGCACAATAACAATCGATATTATGACCATAAAATACAATGGCTTCTATAAAACACGTAAAAAATCAATCATATATTTTTATATTATAATTGTATAATTAATATCACACAAATATATATATATATATATATATATATATATAATAGCATACTTTTATCTTTGAAATTATTTGTCAATGATTTAATTTTTCTCAACGAAACGTATGCTTCGACATCATCGTTAATAGTTAAACAATTCCAAATGATTTCCGATTTTGTGATATCTCTATACGAAAGATAAATAATAATAATAATAATAAATAAATAATACTTTTCTCGATTAATAAAATTCAAAAGCGTGTACCCCTCCTTTTGCGTCTCCATTTTTTTATCCCTGAATAATGTCTTTTGATATTGGAGACCGCAAGTTAATATCAAAAAGTCGTAACTCAAATTCCCTTGATCCATTACAGTCACGTATTTTTCCTTCCTGTTGTAGAAAGAAACATGTCGTACATTTTAAATAAAAAAAAAAAAAAAAAGATAACCAAGGTCATTACCTTTACAACGTACAATGATTTTATTACCTATTAATCGCTAATAATGTTCCGTAAACGACATTAATCCAAGCACGTCTGGTAATAAGGTGTCGATAATCCCGACAATATTTTCCTTTAAACGGTATCATCATATCCCATTTAAGATCATTATGTTTTTTTTCGTATGGCAATCCATTAGGTGATATCAAAGTTAAATTCGTAAAGTTAACGAAATTTTGTTGATACCTTGATACATTAATATACGTGTTCTTTTATTTTTTTTTAAACAAATATTCATATAAAAAAATAAACAATTTGTTATATAGAATTAACAATCTATTACCCTAATGCTAAAAATTCGACAAAAGCTATGCCACAATCGGAACCACCTACGACGACTATCTTTGTATCGATGATCTTGTTTGGTATTGTTGCAATTCTCGGTGTCGTCATAAATAGTGTAAATACTTTGTTATTATTTGTATTTTTATATATTTCATCAGTGATATTATTTGTCGAAGAACAATCACAAAATTTGTATTCTATTCTTCTACGGGGATTAACTGGTACCATGGTGTGCAAACAAGATACCAATGACTGAGTTCTAGTCTAAAAACGTGTGAATTTGTTAGCACCATTTCATCATTATTATTATTATTATTATTATTATCGATGGTGTATTAAACTGTAATGATCTAACTGTTCTAATTATCTACGATTCGTTTCTCATACTTTGTTCGTTAAGGGGAAACTTTTTAAATTGTTCTTCGTAAATAGTACTTATGTATTCTTCGTGAGAATAAAAAAAAAAACTCACGAGTGAACTTCCTTCTTCCTCGTATAGACGATAATAAAGAATCGTCAAGTCATTTAGTCGCATAATTTCGCAAAAGAAATATCTCTGATTAATCGAAAATATTGGCATAAGAACGAAATGTAATAAACGACCATAAGCTTCGTTAAATATATATCGTCTCGTGATAAAATCTTCTACGTGAAAGTTCTTTTTAAGTTCTTCGTGATCCTTTTCGATGCTAAAATTTATAATAAAAATCTATTATAAATTATGAGATAAAAATATAATTTGAAATATTACAAAGGGTATGTGTGTATTATTTAATTACCATACAATAGCTAAGCCAATAATAGTATTATCTGACTTGAAAATATAACTATTAAGATCGTTATTATTAATTTGATTGACAGATCGATTAAAATCTTTCATTATATTTTTACATTTTGGAATATTTATTAAAAATTTCTCAATTTTAGTTCTATCGGATAAATTAGCTTTATATGATTTTATTTCTCCGAAAAGTACTGCCTTGTGAGACAAGTACAAAGACATAGGAAAATCTTTGTTACATCTCAATGGTACTCGCTATATATATATATATTATTTATTATTTATTAATATTATTAATTATAAATAAATATATTTCATTTAATATCTTTACTTTGTGTTATACACAGAGTTATAAATAAAATTTTTTTTTTGTATCAAATCGTACCTACCACAAATTGTTCCAAAAATGAAAAGTACGAGTAAGCAGATGGTAAAAGTAATACGCAGTAATCTAAATCAGGGAAACACTCGAAAGTAGTTTCCAAAAATTCTCGGGTACCACGATTGCCAATGTCATCTCGTACAGCAAACATTTCTATAACGAATGCATTTACTTTACCGTAATAATTTGGAATCGTGAAAATCTTTTGCTCGATATGATTTGATTTTGATCTGACGAAATGATGTTCCTCCAAAGCTATGACGATACGATCACATTTATTTATTCGATAAAATATTAATCAATTTAAATATGATTTTAACAAATTTTTTAATTATTCTTACTCGGTATTTGATTAATTGCATCTGCAAACGCAACGTTTACATTCAAATGATCGGGTATCATTGATCCGACATTTTTATCAGAATTTTTAATATTCATCACGAAATGTTCGTCTTTAGATTCGTGAAAAGTTTCTTCCTTCGACAAATGTTTACGCAACGACGATCGAATTACATTAATATTTGTCAAATCTTTTTCTTTTTTCTAAAGATATAAATAACAAACAAACAAAAAAATAATCCACGTGCGTCCAATCAACACAACAGTTGATTGACGTTCGAAGTAAATGTTAAAAAAAGAAAAAAAAAAAGTAGAGAATTAAGTTTATTATTCGAGAAAGAATATAAACATAAATGCTTACTATTATTTGTTCGTCGTTGTTATAAACTTCGCTGATACGAACGTGTTTTTTTTCTTTGGGCAAAGATACCTTTCGATTATAAATTTCTTTAATTTCTGTATCATTCGTTTGAAGTTTTTCATCTATTGTATATATTTACATGGATTAATTATAAGATTTTTCATATTTGATGATGCAAAAAGAAATGTGAATTATTTTACTAACCATTTTCGAAATTAGTTTTAGTCTCAATTTTATTCTCGATCATTGCACTTGATTTTCGTTCGAGTTTAACATTATCTCTAAATAAAAATATTTTATTATGCATATATATATAATAATTATATTTTCTCTTTTTTATATATGTCACGCACAAAAGTCGTTTTACCGAGAATAGAAAAAATTGTAAATTTTTTAAAATATAAGTATTTGAAATACAAGCATCATAAGTTCATACTTTTTTTAAACAACAACTCTAACCAAAAGATTTATATCTTGAAATATATATTATAAATATGTTCAAACTTATATAGAAGTGTATATATTTTTACAAAATTTATATTTAAAAAAAAAAAGAATTTAAATTATAAAATATCTATTATAGATAAAATAATATTACTTATCTTCTAATATGTGTATAGTGGACAATCAGTTTTTGAAATTTTAATAAACACCCATATTAATTTTCTTTTTCTTTTTCGATAAAGCGACTTTTTTTTTGTAAACGTTTTATATATATTTATATATTTAAAATATTTACTAACGATAATAAATCCTGCATGTTTCCAGAGAAATTTTTCGACAAAATTTCGCTTGTACTTTTTTGAAATATTTCAATACCATCATCTGTTTCATGTGGTTTTCTCAATCCACGATAAACATTTAATTCAAAATTTTCGTTTAAAATATCTACGTCAATGTTCGAGTTAAGGCAAATCACTCCAGTAGTCAAACCATTGTCGTCCTCAGAAACGATTAACTGACGATGACCGTCAGGATAGCGAATCATTTCGCTTATGTAATACTCCCCATACAATTCTTTTACATAGGATGAATCTGCATCGATTATCGGTATTATGTCGTCGTTATCTTCCTCCCTGTATAATCAAAACTCGAACGAATAATATATATATATATATATATCTTTTTTTTTAATGTAATATTTTTGTTAATAACTATTATCTCAATACTCTTTTCACGTATACAAAAAGAAAAAATATAAAATTAAATAAAAAGAAGACTGTGGACATAAAACTTGAATTATTTAGAAAATAAAAACCATTAAATGTTCATAATATCAACATAACAATATTCCTCATGAATACAATATAAAACAAAGAGAATAATTTACAAAATATTAAATATTAATAAGAGTGAAAATATTTCTAATAATATTAATTACACAATACAAAATTAAACCCTACAGTCTACTTTTAAATGAAAGACAAAAAACAGTATTTAAAAAAAAAACCTAAAGATGATGATAATAATATTTAATAATAATTACACAGCACGACGAATCTTTAATCTTGGAATAACAGTGTATCGTGTACTCAAGTACAAAGCTTGCACCATAAAAGTATCCTTGAAATCTATTGGAACTATTCTGGTCATGTGACGTGTGAAAGAATTTTCTAAAGAAAGAAAAATAAAATATCGGTAAAGAGAGAGAGAGAATGAGGAAGAATACACATAAAGGATAAATAAAAAAAAGATCTTGATTGAAGAATCGATATCAGTAGTAGACATGACTAAGTAAGTATGTACTCTATGTATCTATGGAAAAGTTTACCTGGTTTTATCTGAGGTGGGAGTATAAGAATAATGTTGAAACAATGAACGTCTATGTCGAATAAAGCGACAAGAAGATATTCGAAAAATTTGTCGATATAACGATTGTCCCATACGAGACAATGAACGAACATCGTATCATTTTCTTTAATATTTTCAATGCTATTTGAAAACAAAATAAATAAATAAAATACATACAAAAAAATTAAACAGATTTTTGATTTATATATTGTATAAGAAATATTTAAAAAAAAAAATAAATATTTCATAAAATATCGAATTTTTATTTATAACATTAATATAAATCATCGAATCATTTTTATGCTAGAACGAAATGAAATGAAATCTCGNTATATTATATTTACTTATAATGTAATGTTAAACAATGAAGCCATTCCTGTTTTGGAATTGATGGAATATTAGGATAATTGCAAAGAAATATTCCTGATATAATATCTTCTTTTTCGTTGTATTGAATTACAGTATAACAGGAGGATTCGCTGTAAATGTATTTCTCATTGAAATTTCATGAAATAAATATATGTTAAATTCCAATGTAGAATATTGAGAAAATTATTCGAAATTTGATATTAATATATATTATGATCATTTAAATAATTACTATAATTGTCCAATATCGATATTTCCAAATATGTCATAAGTTTTGATTGATATTAAACGTTCCAATGTTGGTAAATCAGAATGTAAGGCACGACGATAACCGCTTATTCGTGGAACGTATTCTTTTTTACATCTTCCAGTATTGGGCTCGATCATACATGTACCAATATTAAACATTTTAAAGAAAATTTGAAAAATTTATATTAAAACGTATAAATAAAATCAAATAATATTTTGGTAGATGATAACAATTGTCAAGGTGAAGTATAACTCTAACGTGAGTGTGTATAATAAGTATCGTTTGAAGATTGCCACACAAATGATATGTAACTATATATGTATATTTGAATAAGTGACGTAACGCAGTGGCGTTGTCAAGTTATGAAAAATAACAAAAAAAAATAAAAAACATTAATAAGTCGTTAAAAAATACCTATCAAAATGATTATTATGTTATTTAAGATTATATATAGGATCGAACGTAAAACGAAATATTTTCTTCTTCTTCGTATTATCCTTTTTAATAAACTGACAATTACTTGAAAGATGTTATATCCCCTTTTAAAAGTTCGATTGAACAATGCGATTGTACGAACGGAAGTATCCACTCGTACACAGAGACACACGCACACACACACACACACACACCCTTCTAAGTATTTCCTATCACGTATATATACGGGATATGCAACGTTTTATATATGTAAATGAAAAAATAACAGATATTAATTTCATCTTCCGTATTAAAAGGATTTCCGTGTTGAAAAGATAATAGCCGGTGTCCGGATTTTACACTCTTAAATTTATTATCAGTATCATAAACTCAGGAAATATTTTAACTCGTTACGCATTTTTATAGATCGATATTGAAAAATTATCAATATTTTCTTCAAATTACAAAACATTATTATTATTATTATTCTTGGTCAATATAAAACAATATTATTAACAAATGATATATAAAATCTAACTCGCCAAAAAATGATCATTTGATTTTAGATTTTTGTCTCTCTCTATCTATGTTACATTTATAATACACTACACAAATAATATAATATTGTTATTTCAATTCTAAAGAAAATATGTGTTACCGAGAAATTTTAATGACACGCTTTAAGAGATAATCTATTTAATTTATTAATATAATTTTTCAAAATAGTTATATAAATATAACAATTGCTTTTGGATCATTTTCAAAAAGCATTTGTAGAAAAGTACTCGTAAATAATAAAAATACATTAACTGTATATCGTATTCCTATATAAATTAGATGCGTAAGAATATTTTAAAGAAGAAGAAGAAGAAGAAGATAAAGAAAAAATCAATTGGAATACAATAATAGCGTATAAATTCTTGAACGATTTTCTTCGTCTATCTTTCTCACATTTTATCTTAAGGGATCTCATAATTTGTAATTACCGACGCGAAAAATGATTCTTGAATCGATGCCATTCATCTCCTCACGTTCATACCCGCGTTATAAGATCATGTTTGAAGCCACTCCTACAACTTGAAAAACATTCCGGCGTTCGTTGAACCATAAGAGAGAGAGAAAGAGAGAAAGAGAGAGAGAAAGAAAGAGAAAGAAAAAGAAAGAGAGAGGATTAGAAACAAACACCATATATATACACGTATAATACAAATAATAAAAAATATACAAATTTTTCCATTATTTTTGTTTCCTTTGATCTAGATTATCGTTTTATCCTTTTAGATATTTCTTTCGTCAATATACATAATAAAATTCATTAACAAGATTTACATTTGTAAATAAGAACTGTACAAACATTAGTTATAGTCGACAAACGTTCACTGTTAGTCTGTATCAAATTTCTCGTCGAAGGAATTAGCAAAGGAATTAGATATGCAAACTCGTTAAATGGTATATACTATACATATACATATATATATATATATATATATATATATATATATATATATATATATATATATA